ATCATGATTTTCTCCAATTCATTTCCTTCCGACGTTGAGCTTATTACCTTTGAGTGTAATTGAGCCCTAAGTGACATTTTCTTTCCATCAACTACAGGCTGAGCGAGGAATGACATCACAACTAGCTTCAACCCCGGACATTAAGCCCGGGAAAACAATCCACGTCATGTCGACGAATAGTCGGACGGTACTACTTCTTGAGATTTCTAGAAATAAAGTACTTTCACGCCATACCAATTCAAGTCATATCGCAGTGTATTAAGCCAGCAATCAAGCTAACACCAAGATAGCTGGAAAGGCAGTATGGAACCTCTTTCGGTCAATATCAACACATTAACATGGCAAAGCTGATTCTTTTCAACAGGGTAACATGTCTAACACAGACGGTGAGTAGCCATCTCATGGATTTCCATCAGTCATGCAGAATCTAACTCACACATAGCAGAAGTCTCCGAACAATTCACTACCAAAACGAACACCACAGATAGGGTCACTGGCCGTGTCCATGAGTCTGCCAGTCACGCACGCGAGAAGATAGCTGAACAGCTCCAACCCGGTGGGTATTTCCAGCGGTGACAGCGCGTGGGGTTTGTGCCTATTTCGAATGACGTCCGATCTGGAGTCGACCCCCTTGTTTTTTTTTTTTTTAGTACCAACTAAATGGACCGATCACGCTCTGCAGGAGATATGAAGGCGACATCTCGTCGCTCGTCAGATACACCCGATAATATCTGGCAATTCGGCCAGGGTGGTGCCAGAGAAGAGCGAGATTATGGGCTGGAGAGAGATAAGTCTTTGCTACAGTCGGCGCAGGAGACGGTGGCTAAAGCCCTTGGAGGAGGGAACCGTGGTCAGTTGATCATTATGATAGTCATTTTATATTTTTGTATAGCTAATTAGAGTATTAAGGTGGGAGTTGAATCCCTCCAGGAAGCCGATTACAGAAGGTTTTTATATAGAATGGAATTTCACGTGAGATGTTGATACATCCATTAGCAAGGTTGATTGCACCATTCCTTCTCCTATCCGTTTAGTCTAACAAATTATTGATCAAATTCCGGTAAATGCCCAGTAACAGCCTTCTCCTAATCATACCGAGGGTGGACTACTTCTAGCCATGGCAAGTTTTCTGAATCTTGTGGCGTATTCCCAACGTTGAATTAGATATACTTGGAGACATTGACATCGTTTTTCTAAAGTTTGCATCTAATTTATATAATAATGGTGTCATAGAACATAGGTAGCCCTTGATGAATTGCAAAAACCTGCAACATTGTACTGAAAAAGAATATTTTCCAGAATACCACAATATACTTCCCGTTCAGGAAGCTTCATGCCTCAGGCACCAACTGATAAATCACGTGTGATAATGAGAGCGAAAAAAGAATCACAGCCAGCCATCCATCTTCAACAATCAATTGACTTTGCGCAGCCATGGGGTCTAGCTCTAAAAGAAAGAAGGATAAGCAAAAAGACTTCCAGGTTAGAACTGCCAACTCCCGTTTCCTCTGTCCAACCTACTAACCTCTGCAGAAACCTAAACTCAAGGTTGGGAAAACCAAAGCGAAGCCCGACAACTACACCGATACCAGTTTCAAATCGAAGTGTATGTGCATTTTTCAGGTCGCTTGACGTACTGTTATGCTCACAAATACTAGCAATTGTCCTCACACAACAATCCCTCCACCTTTCCGCCCCAACTTCAAATGCCACATTCACGCATAACCTATCTCTCCTCTCCGCCAAGTCCGACAGCCAACGACGCGACTCGCTCGCTTATCTGACTACTACGATATCCTCTCGACCAGTGAACTCACCTCTGCCACAACCAGTGAGCGTTATTCTACCATCTCTGCTACCGCTCATCCTCGATGGAACCACCAGCGTACGGACTCAGCTTCTTAAGCTCTTGCGGACCCTGCCAGCGGGTGATATCGAAGACCATGTGGCGCAACTTCTCCCCTATGTTCGTGCAGGAATGACCCATCTTGCAGCGGACATCCGTAGCTCTGCTGTGGAGATTTTATCATGGATGATCGAGGCAGCAGGGGAATCAACAGTTTCCTGCGCGGGAGGATGGATCAAAACACTCAACTGCTTCTTGTCTGTGTTGGGTTGGCACACCGAAGAGTCATCGCGGTGGTCTTCAAGTCGGGCTTCATTTGGGAAGCCCGGCAGCCAGGGCAAGCCCATGGTTAAAACGCTTGGGGCTCTGGCGATGTTTTTGGATGCGGGGATCGGGAAACCTTCTATCGGCGGTGTCGATAGTGAGATGTCTGGTGATGATGACGAGAGTGCCGACTGGCCGTTCCCTCTTTGCCAGACCGCTCAGCACATGATCTCGGACTCATCTACCCCATTCGCATATTTGAATCTGTTCGGGAAGCCGCGCGACGAGGAAGGGGAAATGTACGAAACCCGTGAGGACAGGTACCGCGTGTTCTCGACTCGTTTCCAGCCAGCAATCGAGCGTGGAATCAAGAGCGCCAGAGAGGAAGGTGGCGAACTGGGCCGAGCATCATCCGGTGTGAGCAAGGTGCTAAAAGAAGCGATTGCGTATGGACCGGGCCCATGAATTTGTTTCCGCCAGGGTTTATGAGCAAAACCAAACCCATCCAATAGAATGGTACCGTGGCCTAGGCTGGGGCCTAGAGCTTTTTTTTCTGGGCTTTTACCTATAAAGCCACCAGTGGAGCACGCATCCGATCGAAGCTAGCTCGGATATCAATACCGCGGCGTCTATCTTTACAGAGACGGTCTCGCCCTGCGACAACTGCAACCACCGCCGAATAGACCCATCGGTACGCCCCTTCGGCCAAGGTGGTCGTGGGCTTTGCGCCCTTGCAGCAGGCAAAAGGAAGATATATACACAATATCAAGGCGTCGAGTCAAAGCCTTACGCTGGAGCCTCATATATCTTTTCATAGAACATTGATTTTAGTCATTAATCCCTGTAAGCCAGAAAATCACCGGCAAAATAATCTAACATTATCCAAAAAAATCTTTTTTTCTTTAGAAATCTGGGAATCGAGAACTGGACTTCTATGTTGTATGTTGTATGTGTTCGCAAACCCTAACAAGGCAAACATTTTAAGTTTGTAGATCTATTATTGGACAGGCTACAACCCATTTAGAATGTTGTACATGTACAACATAGTACTCCGAGTCAATTCCCGATGCCGGCCCAAAGGCTAAAAGTAAAAAGACTTGGAATGAACATGTTTGCTGTGCAATGTACTTTGTATGTGCGCACTAGGTCTGTCTCTTATTCGCTTACCGTTTCTTTGTGTTCTTGGAAGTGGATATCTTTTACACATTTGAGACAAAGAGGGGAAAGACTTGACATGTCTTGTGGCGTGGATCTGGCACTTCTTTTTACTTTTATTTTTATTATTTTCATTTAAGTATTCGGGAAATTGGGCCATGAAGCTGAGCACTGCATGTGTGAAGAAGAGCGTTTTTTTTTTTCGGAGATTAATGCAGGAAAATTATAGGGATGGTTATGGTGTACGGAGTACTACCTATGTAGGTAATGTGTGGGAGGGATTGAGGCAAGGGATAATGATGAAAGTTCAATTTTATGATTCATTCCAGAATCCTATCTCTTCTACGGAACACTCCGTAATTGAATGGGTCTCACATCTAAGGTTTGCCCTAAGACTTTCTCTTGATTACCAAAGTTGAAATGGTATAGATCAATAGTGATATTAGTGGGGATCCATCGATGATTTGTACTGTGCCCATGTGTCTATGTGCCTATATGTGCCTATATGGGCTTATGTACATATTGATATATTAATACATTATTCAAATCATTCAAATGATTTTAAATTAAATATATTATGTTATTGAATATCACCCTATTTATTTCCAATAGTCTAAGAATCGAGTGTGAGCTATCTCCCCCTCTTTTCCCCGATCTACATGTACTTTTGCCCAAAGATCGACCATGATCGACTGTTTCTACCCGTCTGGAGGATCCCTAAAGTCTCGGGTCTGCAAAGGTCCGATCTGAGCTTTTGCTTTATCTGGGAATATGACGCCAAGTTAAGTGTTTGGGTTGACATATTCTGGATTTGATACCTCACATCCGGTGCGGAGTACGAAATACGGAGTACAGGGCGGCCTGACGTTTTCTCTCTTTCCCCGGGACCCCTTACATTCATATCTAAGGGGAACAAGAAGGAGAAAAGCCAATTAAAAAAGAACAGTTCAATTGAGGATTGGTCTGTGGTTGGCCAGCATTGTCCCTGCCACAATAAACACAATGAAAAAAAAGGACCGGATCCCAGACGGCAACATGCAGCTGCATTAGTGAGTTTGCCATAGCGCTGTGTCATATTGCCTTCCCGATCCCAAACTATACATCGCAAGTGCCACAGCGTGTTTGACGGCTAGAGTTGTCTAGAGTGAAAGGTTCTCCACAGGGCCTTGCTTGGACGAATCCCTTTGGATGAACCCATTTTCATTATCTGCAGGACCTGTCCTTCGGATTCGTACTACCGTTTTAGCCTCAACCTGTATATCTGTGCCTTTCCAGGTTCCGAGAGGGGGGGCCCCCAGACTACTCCTGTGTCCTAGTTCAAGGATCCCCTCTGAGTAAGGATACGACAGCTCACCTGGGATCTTATTAAACTCTCTCTATTTCCGTCTCGCAGTTTCGACCTTTGCTCGCTTTTAATTCTCACATACAGAACGCCACCTCGCCAACTCTGGTCGACTTTGTACATATCGACACCCCCTGTACATAGTGGTGTTAGCTTATGTCGACATATCATATTCCTCGCGCGTCCATATAACCACTCAGCCCCCTATTGTGTTGGTCATCTTAAGCAGGTGAGCATGCCTTGCTCCCGAGCCAGTGCCTCGGTTCGTCTTCTAACTTGGGAAGTATAGCATTGTCTATTGCTTTACCCGTTGAAACCCCTGCATTTTTTTATGTCGGCATCCGGGAATCATCGGATTGCAAAGCCAGCCAGTGATTGATGCTCCATCTCCCTATGCATCAGTCTGATTCACTGCATGCCTACGCTGTCGCACCAAGCCCAATTGTTCGGACTTATCGACCTGATCCTCCCTCGAAACGCAGGCTCTCCAATATGACGTCCACAAAGACTGGGCCACCACCCAGGCCTCTGGTCACCCCTAGGCCTCGAGGCGCGAGTGGTCCACGACCAGAAGCCCGGTCAGCAGGTACCGCTGAAAGAGCTGGTAGAAATGAAAGCCTAGTGGACATGGTTCGATTCTTCCAGACTCAAAATATGCCTCCTCAAACTCCGCCTCTATCACAATCTTCATCTCAATCTCCACCTAAACCTCAATCACGCTCTCGCGCTCCCTCTCAAGCTCAACCCTCGAGTCCTTCCGATACAACCACTGCACTCCCGGTTCCTATTTCGCCTAAGGAACCCAAGCCTGAACCGAAACCAGATCCAAAGCAGGACCTGAAACCATTTCGTCGTCGCCTCTTGCAGTTTACCCAACGTCAAAAGAAAGAATCAACCCCCAGGTCAAAGGAAGAAGAACAACAGCGCCAGATCGAAGCATTAACGAGGGGAGGATATCTTATTCCAGCGACGGCTTTACCAAAGGAGTCGAAGGGACAAAAGGAGGCGAAGCGATCAAAAGAAAGCCTATCACAGTCCCTCTCTAGATCTCTTTCCAAATCAAAGAAAGATGTGGAAACCATTGGACAGCCATGGCTGCAAGCCAAAGTCGATACCGACACACCACCAACTGAAACAAGACGTCGCTTGGGGTCTCTGAATCTTGATGATTTCGGCTCAATGGTCGATGTCGCAGTCTCACTCACTTCCGATTTCGACGATTCTATGCCACCGCCATATCAGCCAAACGATCACTCCACCTCCCAATCCCCACCAGCTATCCCGACGTCAAGTTCTATGGCAGACCTCAGCCCTCAAAATATTACGCGACCGGCTTCCTCGTTAGCTTCTACCAGTCATTCATATAGGAACGAGTCAATTGATGAACAAATCCAACGGCCATCTAGCTCTGCAGAGTCGAGTATCCGTGTCGACCCTGTCTCACGAGCCACTACCAATACATCCGCGGGTGTGAATGGGATAGAATCACAACCCAAGCCGTCCATTGATAATCGAAAGCGAACCCAACCAGAACAATCTTCTCTTCGCAATGTGACACCCTTGTCGCCTACCCTAAAACTTTTCCCTGATGTTGCCCCTCCTCGCAAATCCAGCAAGGGTGCATGGAGAAATTCGTCAATTCCTCGGTATCAAACGATCGAAAATACCACAGTATCGTCCGCATCTCCGGAAACTAGCTCACGGGCTGGACCTTCTAACAACGTACCCGAAGCTTCAGATGAGGCAAAAAAACCATCGGGTGGTCTTGTAGATGCTGCAGTTAGCGAGGCAGAACCAAAATGCTCAGGTGCGCTGGCGCCTTCTGCGAGCTCTTCTGCAGCGGCACTATCTACAGAAAAAGCACCAGAGAATTTGACCTCGCAAGATGAGACCAAAATTCAACCGCTCTCATTGTGTCTGGGCACATTGAAGGCATTTCCTCTCCCAGCACCTACAAGGCCTCTGCCATCACTGCCCAAAGCCAAACCCTCGCCGATTACTCAGGATAGCAACGCTCGCTCTGTTCGAGCGATTGATTCTGAGTCATCGTCTTCCAGTCTGAATTCCCCGTCGGCAACACTTGTTGAAAACCCCGAGATTAAATCCGCTGTGGTCTGTCCTCGTGCCCTTGACTCGCGCCCAGCAATCGTTCTTGGTAGCGTCGATGCTGGAGGGTCAATAGTCGAAGACGAGGAAAGCTTGATCACTACTTCGCTTTCGGAACACTACCAGCCAACCCCGGAGCATTACACTCCAAGAGGGCGTGTGTCAAGCGTGCGCATTCCTCGAATGCAAGAGCTTCCCGAAAGCCCTTCAAGTCAATGTGATGAAAAGGCCTCCGAAGGGCAGCCTTTGGCCGACTCCCCTGTCCTAGGACACTCTATCCCTACAAAATCCAATGGCAAACGTGCTGTTCTGAAGGAGCTTCAGATTAATCCCCAAATCAGTCGAAATAACCTTCCATTTGGTCTGCCATCGCCTCCACCCACTGCATCACTTCCATCAGTTCCACCTCAGCACCCACCTCCTCCGCTTCCTGGGCGAAAGGTTGGCCAACGCAACTACACTGCGCCTAACATGGCTATCCCGCCACCGATGAGGAACATGGAGGCGCATCCTCTACCGGGGCCCTACCGAGGTTCGACTTTGTCCCGCAGCGACAGCTCAGGGAGCAGTCTTCGACATGAGAGTTTCCCCGAAACATACCAACAAAGTCGCCCTGAATCTCGCCCAGAGTCTCCGCTTCCATCATCGGACGATGAGGTCTTTGGTCCAGAGATAGACACCAAACATTCGCGCCGGGAGGCCGACAAATACCACCACCTCGAACCAACACGTCGAGGATACGAGACAAGAGATCCACGGCAGATGCCTTCCCGCAGTCGACTTCGTTACCCCAATCCCGCGCGCCCTATGACGCCTCAAAGCCGCAGCATCCACAGTCGGGAGAAGACTTCGTCTCCTCAGTCACAATATTCCCAATCAACCCACAGATCCAGGGGGTCTCAAAGCAGTCAGCACACCCGCGCTCCTCCCCAAATGGATTACTACCTCGAGGACCGGGTCGCGAATCTAGAGCGCCAGAACCAGATTTTACAGGCTGCTCTTATGGCGGCGCTCAACGCTGGAGTGAAGAACCCTCTCGAGGGTCTTAATCTCGACCCAAACATGCCATCCGGCCCCTCACACGCTCCCTTTACGCACCAATACTCTGGTCGCCATACATCACGACCTGATAGCTGGGTCAGCTCTTCTCGCAGCAGTGAGCACAGCGGATTTGAGACTTCTAGCTCCTACCGAGAGACGCGGCCAAATGTCAAACAGCTGGACAACATGATCGAAGACATCGAGTCTGGTTGGCTGTCGGACAAGTCTAGTTTCAGTGGAACTCGAGTTGCCCGCAAACGATAAATAACGATTTTTTTTTTCTTTCCTTATATTTTTCTTACACTTTCATGCTTCTGACGGAACGATGTTACTCATTTATTAGCTTGCGATTTTTTTTTTTTTTTTTTTGGCTTCTATTTTCCATATATCCCGGTCCTGTCTACCTTTGCTTATATTTTCTATGATACCATCCTGTTTTACTCTTGATTTTCTTTTTAGGTTTATGATATTAAACTGAATGTTACGCTATATATCACAGCAAGCAACAACAAATCAGATCTACATAGATCCGAGTCGTAGCTCACTGTACGAATCTCTCACAGAATCGAAACTACTTGTCAGATATTTAATGTAGAGATGGAGTTATCAATTGAAAATTTGTCATTTTGTCACTGAAGAAGTTCGAAGTCTTTACAGGAAGAGTATCTATCATTCATGGATGGATCCATGGATGTTTTTGTGCCCATCCAAATGCTTAGTCATTTGTTTTGGAGACGCCCAAGTGCACCTGGTCAATTTCTTGAACTCCATGCGCTCCAATCATTCTGACTGGAGGAAAAGTACATAGCGGAAACAGCAATTACAAAGACATGAGATACTCAGCGCTCGTCTAACCCATCCCTAACCATAACCTCCCACACCGCATACCAACACTTTTCACATTCCCCGCGGAACACCTAAATCATGGCGAACTCAGGACAAGTAAGTGCAACCTTTCCTCCAAATGTGCTAGACTAGACTAACAAATCCCAAAGCGCACACAGCAGGTCCCCCAGCATGTCACCGCACTGCTCTCGCACCTCACCTCGCGCCCGGGCGTGCAATCCACCTTGATTCTCTCCCGCAAAGACGGATCTATCATCCAAAGCGCAGGACAGCTAGCACAGATCGAAGAAAACGGAAGCTCTCGTACCGCACAAATTACACCATCCACAACTGACCCGAACCCTCTCTCCGCCGCCCAGCCCACAGACCCATCCCCTACCTCGCCCACCGTGTCACAGCCCTACCAACCCTCGCAAGCCGAGACACTAGCTGCCCACATATTCGCTTATGTCTCCAGTGCCGAGGCGCTTGGTGTCTCGTTATCGCGACCCACGCCCACTGTGCAACGACCCAGCGACAGCCACTGGGATGTTAACTATGACCACGGGAACGAGACGGGCACGGCACATGAGGAAGACCGAGACGGTGAGGGTGTCGATCGAGACGAGGATGGGGAAGTGAAGCTGCTTCGGATGCGCACAAAGAAACATGAGATCGTCGTCGTGCCAGATCGGAAGTACCTTCTTTGTGTCGTACATGATGCCTCCCCAAGTGGAGGCCCTGGGGCAGCGGGCTCACGCTCCCGGTAGTGTAATTATGGTTCTATATTTGTGAATATGGCTGCTCTTGTGTGGCTCTTTCGGGATTTTCTTTCTTGGTGTGTGTGTTTATGGGGGTTTGTTTTGTTGGCTTTGGATTTCATACATATACCCGATGGAAGCAAAATCTTCGCATTTAATTCGTGTTTTCCATGTCATGGCTATGTGTAGGGCTGCCTATGTATGGGTTTTTAAGAGATAGGGGTCTGTCTGTTCAGTTCTGCTAAATCGCTGTGTTCCATTGCTCTATAGGGGGATTGTATTACAGGTAATGTGGGCAGCTGTTTGAGTGAGACAACCTACTCTTTCTTTTCATATAGATCAGTTGATCGCAATCTCTATGATGTAGAGTCACCATGTCCCTTATCATGTCCCTGAGATAGAATGAAATCGAAGTACAATGTAGCTTGAGACCGGAGAAAATCCGTTAACAGCTCCACTGTTTACCCCTCTCAGCGGGCGAGACAATCATCAAGTGGGCAGATAGACAGATATCCTTCGTATCTTGCAACCCTCACGCCAAAGAGCACATCTATTATCTAGCTATATCAAACGAATCCGATCATCTTCAATATGGCCTCTACTCTTGATGTTTCGGCAGCTCGCTCTCGCTTCCCTGCACTGCAGCAGGAGCAAGTGTATATGGACAATGCTGGTGAGACAGGCCTCCGTTTTTATGGCCACGATAGCTATGAGATCCATGCTGATTGTCAAACTATAGGCGGAAGTCAGGTTCTCGATACTGTGGCCGACTCGTTAGTCTAATCAATCCCATTGTAGGTTGCTACATGTATATACTGACGCGGCCATAGCATCCGCCATTACCTGCTGAACACGAATGTCCAGCTCGGAGCTAGCTACAAAGTCTCCCAGACTTCGACTAATGCGTACGATAATGCATACAAAGTGGCTGCTGGGTTCACTAATGCCGCGCCCGAGGAGGTACATGCACTATAATCCATTACTTCCCAAGAAGTATCAGAACTGCCCAAATTTCGGGTGCTAATGCATGAAATCGGAAACAGATCAGTATCGGTATCTCCACTACCCAGCTACTGCATAATCTCTCCACGGCACTCAAATTCCAACCTGGCGATGAACTGGTCTTATCCAAACTTAACCACGAGGCTAATACCTCCCCGTGGGTCCATATAGCAGAGAGGTTGGGCTTGACCGTCAAGTGGTGGGCTGCTTCCGACCCAAAGAACCCAGTGTGCGATCCATCTGAGTTGAAGTCCTTACTCTCCGATAAGACCAGACTCGTAGCATGTCCTCATGCTTCCAATATCACTGGCACCATCAGCCCCATCCGAAAGATTGCAGACATTGTTCATGTCTATCCTCGTGTGAGTAATTATAAAGTCTATTGGTTTCCACGCATTGCTCACACAAACTTACACAGGCACTGCTGTGTGTGGATGGAGTGGCCCTAGCTCCGCATCGTCAGGTCGACGTGAAGGCGTTGGACGTGGATTTCTACGTAAATTGCAACCCAAGCTTTTGCATGACTGGTTCATTGCTGATCTCCTCCCCACTAGGCATTCTCCTGGTACAAGGTGTATGGACCACACTTGGCGCAACTATATGCCTCATCACGCGTTCACGACCAGATTCAGTCGCTGGGGCATTTCTTCAAGCCCACAGATACGCTAGACCTGAAGCTCAATCTCGCATCGGCTAATTATGAGCTTACACAGAGTATTCCCCAGGTTGTGGAGTACTTTGGCTCCGACCCCAGCACTACCTGGGCCCAGATGGCCGAGCATGAGGAGCGGCTACAACAAATTCTACTGGAATTCCTAGCTTCTGATAGCCGGGTTGATGTTATCGGTGAACCTTCAGCCAGTAAGGAGCTCCGCGTGCCAGTTATTAGTTTCGTTGTACAGGGAGTGGGCAGCCAGCGCCTTGTGGAGGAGGTTGAGCGTCGATCGGCTTTTGGGTTCCGCAGTGGTCATATGTACAGTCACCGGCTACTGGCCGACATATGCGGATTGCACAATGTGGAGGACGGGGTGGTGCGGGTCAGTTTCCTGCACTATAACACCGGTGAGTGGATATATCTTGATTGGGGTTGTTCATTACTAACAATGACAACAGAGGCCGAAGTACGGGGGCTGGTAGAGGTATTGCGAGAGGTGCTTGGATCCTTGTAAGTTGTAGATAGCTTATGTACATCGATGTACAGCACGAGGTATAGTTGGGCTATCTGGCTATATTTTATTAAGACTACACATGCTATGGATATATTTTTTTCCTCTTGAATTTATTTGTCTTTTTCTCCCACCACACCTACCACAGATTGCATAGTTTGCCACTTGGCTGCCCTATGATGGGTGGTCTCTAGGCCACGAACCTCTGAACCTTTGATAATCCACCTGAAGCCTAACCCTGTAAAACATCTCTTTGTTTTTCAGCCTGAAGTTCCCACCGTGAGGTCATCTGAGTTCACTTCCCGAGGTTCCCCAGCTCCATCTGGAAGGCTGCAGGCAACCCCAACCAGCGACGCCGATCACAGCGTCAGCCAATCAGCATAGAGATAATCATGGAATAATGGGAATGATAGTGGATCGCAGCCTAACAGCCGCGCGTGGATTGGCCAAGGGGCGAAGACAGCGTGGCAAGCGGCTTTATGACTCAGTGGAACTTGGGAACAGAGCCTTCAGACTGGATGGATTTTATAGCCACTGTGGGTGTATTATGATGAACCCTTTATGAAGATTGAAGATTGAAGATTTCTCTTTTGCTGATTTGTTAATATGGTATTCATTTTTTTAATTCATTCTTAAAATAAGATTCATCACACTATGAGTGGCTACACAGACATAAAGGTGTCACTGCATATGGAGTAGTCAAGTCATTCTCGGTAATAAGGTCTTTTTTTACTCCGTATGTGTTGAGATAATCAATCAGCATGTTATAAGATGAAGCCCAAGATTAGCATGATAATAGATATGGAATATATGAGACTATCTGATAGAATATGATAGATATAATAGTAAATAATAGTAAATAATAGTATATAAAAAAAAAGAGGTGATAGAAGTGATAGAAGCGTGAGTCACCGTCGTACCACAAGGCCTTTCTCTCCTCCTCCCCGTCTGCCCTCCTATCTCGGAGTCTCTTCGCCGCATCCGGGTTTTTCCCCTCTCCCATCTCAGAATGTTCCTCTCTTGATTATACAGGAGATTCTATCAAGATTATAAAGAAGTAGAATATTTGACTATATTCTATTTCTATATACATACGTGTTGGTCCCTGCGCCTCCCGGCATCTTCCTAACCCGCCACCCACTTCTCTTCCTCGCCACAGTGTGACTTTCTTTTCCCCCTTCCCATTTTTTGCCCCCCCAATCTTTCTTAGTCAAAAAACCCCATTTTAAGAAAAAAAAGAGTCATAGGTAAATGTCGTTCCATAAATGTCCTCTTCCCTTCCTATTCTCTGACTCTAACATCTTCATCTCGCCTCCCCTCAGCCTCATCCCCCTCCCTCGGACTCTCGCCTCTCTCTCTGCCTAGCCGCTTCAACGACTGCCTTGTACAGACAGCCACCAGCGTGGTTCTGCCTGTCCACGGTCCGTTGGGTGCCTTGATATAACTCCTTTTCCATCACACGACTCATTTCAAAATGTACCTTATTGATTCATCCGTTCCGATCGCCTGTGTTGCTGTTACCGACCTCCGCATCGTCACCGTCTCTGGCTCCATCTAATACCACTCATCGGAAAGAGTCATTACCGCCACGTGCCCCTGCTTTGGTTCTTATATCAGAAGCACTTGGTTGATCGGATCGTGAATACGTTTTCCTTTTCTTCTTGTTTTTATAGTTGTTGTCCCCTTTGACCTCTCTTTTTTAACCGCTACACCCGGCGGTTCCGCTTATTTTTCTACGTCTGGTTATCAACCTGGCTCTCTACATCTAAAGGTCTGCCGTCGCCTTCGTCGCAAAGACGGCTTCTGTCTCCTCGGCTCTCGTTCCCGGTTCCCTGCTTAACGGTATCTTGACACTTAACGGTTCCAAAAATCGGACCATCTCGCTTTTATCCGGCGGTCTTCATTTGAACATTTGTTCACACAAACGCCCTATATGAACTCCACAGTACTCCCGGATATGTCAGGGATGGACGTCTTGGGGTTGAACCTCTCAAACCCAAGTTCTCAATTGACAGCGTCTCACCACGCTCACCCCTACGCATCCTCGATCTCCTCCTCCGCCTCCTCCTCTTCCTCATCTGTATTCTCCCTCGATGGCGTCTCCTCGCAGAGTTCGATATCATCGACATCGACCAACCCGGTTGACGTGATTTGGGAGAATGAGAGTAATAGCCAGTTGGCGGGAAGAAATCCGAACGGAGCATGCCCCCGGGCTTTTGCCAAGGGACCTGCTTCCAAGGTGGACGGTGTAGTGCCATCCGAGCTGCGAACGCACCCTCGGCGCACTAACAGTTATTCTTCTAGCGCTCCCAGTGCGCGCCCTCCGCCATGTCTGCTACGGCAGTCGGAACGGAAGGTGAACTTCGTCGATAACCTCGTCGGTAAGTCTTGAAAAAGGGACTCCTCAAGTACGTTTTTGTACGCCCGGCTAAATTATATTTCACCTCCTTTAAGACACCGCATCACAGATTGTTGAGACCATCTGGCCCCTTTCCGCCGCAGCATCCCGCAGTGATGCCGCGACCGGATCCAAAGGGGTTCTTCCTCTCCGCACTTTTATCCAAGAGACACTCCGCCGCTCGCGTACTAGCTACAGTACCTTGCAGGTGGCCTTGTATTATTTGATTAAAATCAAACCCCACGTACCCACGCATGACTTCACTAAGGAGCAGCCTCGGGATCAGTCGCCTTTGCGGGCGATGCAGTGTGGGCGCCGGATGTTCCTGGCAGCGTTGATTCTCGCTTCAAAGTATCTGCAGGATCGCAACTACTCCGCTCGTGCCTGGAGCAAGATTTCTGGCCTCAATACTCTTGAGATTAACCAGAATGAGCTTATGTTCCTCAAGGCGGTCGGATGGCGCCTGCACATTGACGAGGCAACCTTTCAGCGTTGGACTGACTTGGTATTGAAGCTGACCCCTGGTGCCGGTGGACCCCCAGTTGGTAAAGGTCAGTGCTGGCAGACTGTCCTACCCAGACTCACTCCTGAACTGGAATTTGTAGAGTCAGAGCCCGTGACCCCGGTTTCGGCGATGGGTGGGATGGATCTCGGTCTGTCAGAACACCTCTCGCCTCGTAGTCTGCCAAGCAACGAGTCGGTGCGCTCCTTGCCGCGCGAACAAGCTCCGACATGCGCTCGGAGTATTCCGCGAACCCTGGAGCCAACTCCACGTATGGATTTTGCCAACTTGGCTTTGCCCAGTTTCCCACGGCCTATGATGCTTCCTACGCCACAGATGACCCCCCAATCTCAAGTGTCCTCCACTCCTGCAGCGAGTATGGCTACTTACAACCCCCGTCGCCCATCCATCTGTACGGCTATGTCTCAGGCGCAGAATGTGTGCATGGCGCGATCAACACTCGATCAGCGCCCGCCCCTGTCATTCTGCCCTCGGACCCAGTCGTACGATGGTTACCCGGCTGCGGCTCGTCGGTCATCTTTGGCTCGCTCGACCTCCTCGGCGTCGTCGCCTGACTCGATGGTTTCGGATGTCTCTACTCTGTCGTCCCGCTCTTCGCGGTCGTCATCAGTCTCGTCCAGCGCCTCAGGTACTTCTGGCTCGGCGCCAGCTCGTCTAGCTGTTAAGGCCACATTGCGTTGCACAAGCAACTCCCTCAAGGAGTCCCGGAAGACTCTGGCCATTGCCTCTCCGATAGACGAGAGTTGTCTGGTCGGTGTCTACGGCTCTCCTGAATATCCTAGTTCCATGGGTTCTTCAGTCCCAGACCTATCTAATTTTTCCCTGGATTCCAGCCTGAGCGAAGCTGCTCAGAGTCTCTGCGAGCTTTCTGGCGCGACGCCCGAACGGCGCCAGTGCCGAAAACGTGGACGTACTGGATCCGACGATCTTTTGCTCCAAAACCATGTGCGCCATCTGATCAACATCGGGGCCTCCGGAGACCAATCCGTGTTGCCTGATGGAAAGTTCCCACGCTCATTCATGACGCAACATGGGTCCTCCATTCCCCCTGTGCAGACTGGCCCAGTCTCTGGACCGGCGGGCATGAAACGTGCCTGCTGTGGCAGCGAAGCACGCAAGATCGCGTTGAACCCGAGCCTCCGTGTTGCGGAGTACTTGAATTAACTTGCGATTTATTAGCGGATTTCCTTATTTTCTTATTTCCTTTGTGCGAGGCAAAAAAAGAAAAAGTCCGTCGTTTTGTTCTTTGTTTTCCCTACGACGAACCGACCCCGTTGTACATACCCCTATTCTCGGGCACTCGGTCGTACGTATTGGGACTTGGGCGTTTAATTCCCACGATATGTACGATGTGGTGATGACTGGCATGTCTTCTACTTGCGTCGTGCATCTGTTCTCTCACTTTTTTTACCCCTTTCTTTTATCTACTTTTGTGGTTGCGAACGGAGTGTGGTCGGCATGGGACGGTTATGGTCTTTATTTACTCTGGTTACTTTGGGGGATGGAAAGCGGGCGTCTGCCCTGATTATACCTGTATCAACTCATCCATCTAGGGGATGGTATATCTGCCACCCCGAGAGTTTCTCGCCCTCGGATAGGATAGTCAATCCAAATACAGCTTAACAGCGATATCGGCCCCCTTTCTCGTATTCCTAAGCGCCCAGGCAACTGCCCAGATGTGCACATGACAGGTCTGACCGTGCAGCCATGGCGCTGGAATCCATGGTTCCGCGGTGAGTCATTCAGGCGTCAACGGTGGCGCTATATGTGGCTGTGGGATTTAGGTGTGGCTGTGGGGTCATTCCGGAGTTGGCGGGTATTAGCTCCTGGTTTCTAAGTATAGAGTGGAGCTTATGCACGGCATATTGTTCATAGCCTCGCTTTGGCAAGGACCTCGGGAGCTGTGCACTGTTGTTCCAATCCTGGGGTGCTTGAGCATATGCAGACAAAAGTCCCATGTTTATCTGCAACTAATTTTAAACTCAACCCAATACTAACGAATACTAGATCCATAAGGTGGAGGCTGACAAGGTCTTCTTCTTTCTTCCTCTGATATCGGCATGATCAGATGAAATACCCCCGGAAGTCACTTGTCAAAATGTTGTTATTGAGAAGGATCCCAGAAATGACGATCCAACCGTTTCGATATATGTCAAGTCGAACACAGTGATCAGAGTCCGTATCATCCGACACAAGCCCATCCCAACTCTCCATTATATCGTCTATTGTGGTGAGGTGCAATGGCTGAATCTAGAATTATCTGAAAAGACATCTCATAGCTACTAAGACTATAATGGACTCATCTGGCTACATATCATGGAGGGCTGCCGGTCACGTCTACGGGCGACTACTTGTGCCACTGGGACATAACTCTCTCATTGGTTAATATTGCCAGGCAGTATTCTAGATCCGCCCGTGGACCCTCACTTTATCATCAAAGGTTACTACTATGTGACAGAAATCGACGTATATTATAATGTATACAAATTGATATATGTAAAAAATTTCTAACTAACTAAAATAACAATATCAGACGTTTTGACAACCTATATGGACATGGCTGATTAAGCAATATATATACTTTTGTATACGGAATAGAGCACGCTATTATAGCGGTCCATCTATACTCCGGTTTCTCTTACGGAGTGTACAAATCAGTTCAATTATGAAGGATTAAAGAAAGGCCTTTTTACCGCCTTCGTATATACCTAAAAAAGAGCGCCCAAAAGAACCACCAAAAAGACCACTAAAAAGATATCACAAGACCGCTTATACGGCCGACTATTCTTGTACACTTGTAAATTATCAAGTAAGGGTAGGTACATTGTAGGTTGACTCTATACCCGCCAGGGCTGCATGCAAATGATAGTGGATGATTAAATATTGTTGGCAATATTATCCAATGAGAGAGAGTCAAGTTTCGATGGCATACTTAGTCGGCCGTACCAATGGCTGAGGGCTCGCAGTGACGATCGCATTAGTTTTCTCTCTTTTTTTTTTGCATTAGACCTGCGCATGCAGCATGGATAGCAATTAAGCATATCTCTACTCCCTGTATCTCTACACGCTAAGCAAGTTTTACGAGGTACTTTTGAGCTCTCCGTTCTCATTCGCCCCTTTGGTCTTATCTACATAATGTAGGCTTATCATTCTTATCATCCATCCTTGTTGTGCACGGGACACGTCGGGAGGCAAATCTGGGGAATAAGAAGACGTTGGACCGGCATTTCTTTTGATCTCATTGTCTTATGTTTCATACTATTGAGCTGTTCTATCCCTTGCGTTGTGGTGTTACATCAACATATATACCGAAAGGACCGGGACTTGAACCCTCCTTATCTTGAGAACACCCGTGGACCCATCACACCGATTACATCTTCAACCATGAAGCTACGCATCTCTAGGCCCCATATGAGGGTCTCACAGGGCGAGTCTGAATTTGCAGCAGGCAATGCACGGTGGACAAACCGTGATCTCGACCCGATTGCCAAACATGGCCGCAAATGGGGTATATCCAGTATAATAGGTGCGGTACTTGTGCTTATCTTTGCAAATACCAGGCTAGGACTAATAGAACATGCTATCTATTAGCTTACTGGATTTCCGATGCCTTAAACGCAGCGACCTGGCAATTCGCCAGTAGTATGATTGCCGTCGGCCTCACCTATCGTGAAGCTCTGGGCATCGTCGCCTTATCCTTCTTCATTATATCGTTGGTCATTGCTGCAAACGGTACTGTGGGCGCCATATACCATGTTCCATTCCCCGTGATTGCCCGTGCTAGCTGGGGCTTTTGGGGCTCATATATCGCCATCATTTCACGAGTCATCCTTGCTGTCTTCTGGTTTGCTATCCAAAATGTCAACGGCGGAAATGCTGTTAGTGTCATGATTGGAGCAATATGGCCAAGCTATTTGGATCTTCCAAATGGTATTCCTGAATCTCAGGGAATCACGACCAGTGGTATGGTCGGGTTTCTGATCTTCTGGTTGATCCAGGTTCCGTTTCTCTACATGCATCCAAACAAATTGCGCTGGTTATTTACGATCAAATCGGTTCTGGTTCCCATTGCTTGGATTGCTATCTTAATATGGGCATTTGTCACTGTGAAAGGCGGTGGTGGCATATTCGAAAAGCAGGCTTCAACCGTCTCCGGATCCAAGTATAGCTGGCTGTTCTTGGCCAACATGACATCGGTCCTAGGAAACTATGCCACGTTATCAGTAAATCAGGTATTCTTGATTCTGCCCTACTAATAACTGTTGCAAAAGCTAACCGTCATCAGTCTGACTTCTCCCGCTACTCCCGGATCAGTCCCCGCTGGCAGCTCCTTTATATCCCCATGCTACCTATTGTATTCACTTTCTTCGCCTTTATTGGAATTGCTGCCTCGTCTGCTGGCCAAGTCCACTATAATCTCTCGTCTATTCCGTGGGATCCAACAGTTTTGATCAGCTACTGGCCCAACCGAGCGTGTCGCTTTTTCGGCGCAGCTTCTTTTGCACTGGCCTCCCTGGGCGTGAACATCTCGGCCAATTCTCTTTCAGCCGCTAACGATTTCACCGCATTGGCACCACGGTATATCAATATCCGGCGCGGGCAGATCCTATGCGCCTTGTTGTCGTGGTGTCTTGTTCCCTGGAAAATCCTCGCATCGGCAGGCAACTTCCTTTCTTTTATGTCTGCATATGCGATCTTCCTTGGTCCTATTGCTGCAATTATGATGTTTGATTTCTGGGTTGTCAACCGCCGTCGATATGACACCCTGGCTCTATACCAGCCCAGCAACCCGACATATCGCTATACATTCTCTATCCCGGGCTTCCCGGGTAAGAGTATGTCTGGCACAAACTGGCGCGCCGTATTGTCGTTTATTATTGGTGTTGTTCCAAGTCTTCCCGGACTTATCAATTCTGTGAACTCTCATATCGATGTCGGTTCCGGTGTACATCCGTATGAGTTTGGGTGGCTGTTGGGCTTTGTTGCCACATCTATTTCCTATATGCTGTTATCATGGCTGTTTCCTGCGCAAGAGACTCGGATTGATCGCGCTGTGCTACCTGATGAAATATATGATAGAGGCACGGTGGTCGAAGGAATGGAAGCAGATGACCTAGATAGGAAGGACATGGTTTCTGATACACAGGAGAAACATATGGATGTGGAAAAGGCTATCTAAGCTTTATCTGATGTTGATGTGAATTTTTTGTTCTGTACCGAGTGGCATATAGATGTCCATGTTAATATCCAAGTGACCTTTATATTTGATCATACTATGTTGCCAGAATCAATGTTTAGGCATTGTTCCACAGTCTTATTTTGGCTGGTCTTTTGGTACATACGAAGGTGGTAAAAAAAAGTATATTCTATGTAAGACACCTTCTAGGCATGTAGAATGGTGATTACTAGGTATTTTTAATCGATTATTTACAAGTATATATATTATAATTAGATTGATTTGTTATAGAATTCATTTTTATACTCTAGAGTAATCTTATAGTCTTAAACCAGTTTATTCTTATTTTTTTTTCAAACACCATTGCCCTACACTCCACCCTAAAAATCAGCAAAAAGAATTAGTAATAGGCAGCAATAAGAAGGCAGCAAAATAATCAGGAAAAAGGTATAAAAATAAGATAGAAATTGGAATTGGAATTGGAATTAGTATACAGGCTTCGAGGTGGCGGTGAGATAGTATCTAATGAGAGAGTTAAGTTCCAATGGCGTATTTACTCGCCCGTACGTTGGTCGATTCCTGTGGAAGTACCTAGATACTCTCTCTACTGTTTCTCACCCGGCAAACGAACATCCTGCCACCCTCTTCCATCACCGACGCCCTCTACACTGCCGTGCGGTCGGATCCCCTGCCACTCAGTGAGATTGATCCACCCAATCTGCTGCACGTCACCAAATCCACCAATCCAGTATGCATGGGTGACCACCAGCCGGGCCCAGAAACTCGCATGAGGCGAGTAAGAAGTACCAGGTAGCCAGACCTTTGCATCGGGATGAGGCTCAAGGAAACACCTCTCGAGGGCTGCAGCTGCGTCATCGGGAAGCGGGGACGGGAGGTTCTCCAAGTATCCGAAGAGGGTGACGCGAGGCAGAGCAGCCGGGCTGAGAGGAAGACCAGGGTAGACTGGACCGGCCTCATTGAGATGATC